GACCGAGGCGATCCTACTATGGGACTTATGCGAACATGCCCGTCAGGGCCTCTCGGATGTGCACCCCATCCTGGTGTGTCTGGCGGATGGAAGCTGTGTGGGGCTGTTAAAACGTCTGTGCCTTGGCTGCCATCCATGCAGGGAGAAAGGCCTCCCCACTCCGCTCCACAATGTTGTGGAGCATGCAGCACGCGGCCAGTACCACCGTTGCATTCCGCTCACCCATCTCGAGATGGGTGAGAAAACATTGGAAGCAGGCTTTTAAGCGGCCAAAGGCGAGCTCCACCTGATTTCGGGCCAGGTTGAGGCAGTCGTTGAACCGGGCTCGGTTCTGGTCTGGCTGCCCCGTGTAGGGCCGCATTAGCCAGGGCAGCAGAGGGTAGACTGCGTCCCCAACGATGCATATGGGCATAGGCACATCTCCGACAGTCAACTCCCGCCGGGGGAGCTAGGTGCCCGCCTTCAGCCTGCGAAACAGTCCGGAGTTGTGGAGGATGCAGGTGTCATGTGCCCTGCCAGACCAGCCCGCATAGACATCCAGGAAGCGGCCCTGGTGCTCCATGAGGGCCTGGAGAACAATCGAGCAGTACCCCTTCCTGTTCGTGAAATGGGCTGCTCGATGCTCCGGAGGGCTCCCCTGCAGTTGGGGACCCCGAGGGCAGCGAAGCCGGCCAGCGTAGCGTCCACGTCGCACAGGCAGATCACTCTCGGGAGCAGGACATCATTGTGCGTGGATGACCTGCAGAAGGGTACAGAGAAACACAGGGGAACACATCACATAAGGCAGGGGTGAGTGTGCGCTCCATTGATCCCTTCCATTTGGGGGAATCATATTTTTAATACATTGATATGTTATCCCTACAGGGGGAAGCACTCGGGCTGGTCCTAGGGCCGCCTGAGTTTTGCTGCAAGGATGGGACACTCCCCAGACATCCCACCAGCAGGCCTGTGCAAGGGAGGGATGGCCCAAACCCCTGGGTGATCCAGCCTGGAGTCTTGGCTGCCCGTGGGCATGGAGTGCAGCACCCTCCCCCTACCCCACTCCCCATTCCCCCTGGGATTTACCTCCATGACGATCACACCGACGGTGGATTTTCCCACCCTGAATTGTTGTGCCACCGATGTCCGGGGTGGCCAGCTTCCATAGCGCGATGGCGACCCTCTGGTGATGGGGATGGATGCATGCAGCCGGGTGGTGGCTCTCTGGAACGCAGGGGCGAGCCAGGCACACAGCTCCAGGAATGTCCGCTTTTGCATGCAGAAATTCCAGAGCCATTGCTGGTCGTCCCATTGCCCAAGGACCAGCTGCTCCCACCAGTCCGTACTGGTGTCCAGTCTCCAGATTGGCCTCTCCACGGTGGGGTGGGGATGCCACAGAGATGCCATGGCCTCCCTGGTGAGGGAGTCCAAAGTGGTCTGTGCCTCCCGGTCCTGGAACATGAGGGCACCAGCCTGGAGCACCAGCTGCAGGCACTCAAAAATGGCCGACAGGGGCCAGAGCAGGCACATGGCCACCCGTGGCTCCATGGCAGACAAAGCAAGACACAAGAAACCAAAACCAGGAAAAAGCACTAGGTGGCTAAAGGGTGGTGTCCAAAAGGCAGACGGCAACTACCAAAACTGCTAGGGCTGTCTGTCCCTGCAAGAGGTCCTAAACCACGAAGCAGGAGACAAACGGCTGTCCAGCGAGACCCCTTTAAGCACGTGTCTGAAAGGAGCTCCAGCCCCCGCCCCTGGAAAGGGCTAGTGCCCTTTTGCCCTCTTCAAAATGGTTCTAGGCTTCTGCTTTTGCGCAAAAGCGTCCAGCCAATAAAGACGCGCTTTTGCGCAAAAGCGCATCATTATAATGATAACTCCGGGATCAATCTAGATGCTCTTTTCAGCAAATACTTTTAACGGAAAAACTTTTCTGTTAAAAGTATTTCTGGAAAATCATGCCAGTCTAGACGCAGCCTCCAGGTATGAATGGGTGAAAATGAGATGAGAATCGTGTCATCAATTTTGCCTCTGATTTCTTTCTCTTTTTTTTTTTTTTTTGGAACTGAGCAGGTTGTAAACTACATTGAGCGCAACATTTTTGTCTTAGAGCAAGTATATACTTATGGGAGTGGAGTGTGTGCAGTGAGCACTGCTCAGGTGTTGCTCCTTCTCCCTGGTGTCACACATTAGATCTACAGCAGGAGCATTGGGACACTGCCGGGAGTCCCACTGGCTAGGAGTTTTAGGCCCCTGTTTGCTGCTTCCAGGAAGAGGCCTGGGTCATAACTCCTTCCCTGGCTGCCTTTTGACAGCAGCCACTATTGCAGCACTGGAAACCCTTGGCAGGAGGGCGGGGACGGGGTGGTGGGAGGGGAGAAGTGCCTACTGCTTGGCTCCATCAGGGCTGGATCATCATGTCTGAGTGAGACTGAGAGTACTTTCATTCCCTCCACAGTGAGGAGGTTGGGATCACACATGTTTTGGCCTTGGCCGCGGTGAGCACAGCAGGTTCGTAAAGGACCACTTGATGGCCCTCTTGGGCCTCACAAAGGACAAGTGAGTGACATGGTTTCTGAGCTGTGCTAAATGTTCAAGATTTATGGGCAGAGTTGCTAGGTCAGTAGCCTCTAAATAGGTCCATGCAATTTTGTGCATGTACTTCTGTAGAGTCTATTCGTATACACTACTGATTATGTACCTACAATGGTAGATGCATTTGAGACTGTGCGTACCTGGGTAAAATTGTACCGCCTCAGAGATCCAATTCTGCAAGGAGCCGAATGCTTATCAGGTGGCATGCATAATACCAATTGAAACCAGCGGTAATCAACCTGAAAGGATGAGGCATGTCATTAGATTAGTCCTGCTAAATATGTGACCAATGATTTTCAAAGTACAGTGAAATTCTGTTACTAAGATCCATTTCCTCAGAAAGAGCATGGTATACAGCGCCATAAAACTGTCAGCCTCCCAAATCAGAAGCTCATGGAAGCAAATTTTCAAGATTTGGAGGGCAGAGGCATTATCAGGCATTCTGTGGTGAGGTAGTTCAGTCAAGTGGTACAGTAATTGACTAAAAGTGGCACTTCTGGCCTTTTGGAAATATCAAAGAAAATCAAAGGCTACATTCCAATCAAATCCTTACAACTAAAAGTCCTGTTATGAATAGAAGGGTGGGACAAACACATGAGCAGAAATAAAAGCTAGTTTATGGAAAGTAAAATTTGAAGCCAAAGGATCATACTACAAGTAGGGATCAGTAAAACGTTAATGCTACTGTAACTGCTACTTTCTTGTGTTAATACCAAGAGAACCTCTTTTCTTATATGATTTTCAGCCCAACTTAGGGTCAAGAGTCTGAGAGAATCATGTGAAGTTTGTCACAGGCAGTTTTGGGAAGTCAGCAATAGCAGCGTCAGTGGAGAGACAGATAAAATGAGCTCAGAAATTTACAACTATTTACATTTATATTATTTTATTTTATTTTCAGGTGCAGAAACCTCACCTTTCCCACTAGCCTTCCTGAGGTCAGCATTGTTTTCATATTTGTTAACGAAGCCCTCTCAGTGATTCTACGTTCCATTCATTCTGCTATTGACCGGACTCCTCCTTACCTGCTCAAAGAAATTATCTTAGTGGATGACAACAGTAATAATGGTAAGGGCTATCTTTGGAACATAGCTCTGGATTGTGTGTGACTAGTAGCACATTTCCTCAAGTTCTGACTTGCAGACATCCTGTTAGAGTTTCAGAGGGTGTGTTTGAGAATACCAGAGAATTGTTTGTTTTTTTCCCCTCTAGCCTTAGACCCTTCTCCTGGGACAAGTTTTGCCTTCAGATGTGCAAAAGTACTTGCCACTGACATCCAGTGAGAACAGAGGCAGAGAACAGAGCTTCATTCCCTATGTTTAATGGGCTCAGTACATTGATGTGTTTAATGTGCCCAGTGGGGGCTCTCGTACATTTCAAAGGAGGAATGCGGACGTGCCTGTCAACTAGTCGAGTAGTCAATGGAAATTCCATCGACAACTTGACTAGTCAATTAACTGCAAAGGTTGGGCTCTGCTAGGAGTTAATTTCAAACTCATAATATTTAAGTGGGATCAACATCCCTTCTTCTGAAGGAGAATGCCAAATGAAGGGCTTCTGTTCCACCTCTAGCCTTATGACAGCTCTTACCTGAGTCCCTGTTTCTGCATGCTGGGAGCCACAACTCTCTCTCTGGCATTCCTTGGACTTTTTTTTAGCAGAGCACAGACTGTAGCAGGCAAAATAAATATGCTCCTCACCCAAAGCTGAAACTCCCCTTCTCCACCTCTTTTTTTTAATTCTCTCTGTCAAGAAAAAGCTCAAATCCCAGCTTCAAACACATTTCCACATAAAACAACTAAATGTATGGTGTTAGCACCCTGGTTGCATGAGGATATTTAGGTCCATTCCAACCCTAATGAATAACGCTGTGTTTAGAGTCAACCAAGCCTGACCTACCTTTTCATGATTAGGTATTTTAAGGTGCAATATGGGTAAGATAGTATGCAGAATTTATGTGGTGATGGTCTTGATTTAGGGCACGATATGGGATGTAACAGTGCAACAGAGTGATCAAAAATCACAAATAATATAATAGCAAACTATGAGAGAACTAAATAAAATAAGCTGAGTGAATCAGAAATCACTCATGAATTTTTGGCTTGTTTATGCATTTCATTATGTAGCACTTGGACATTCCCTGGCACATGGTTGTATTGAGACAAAAAAAGGAGATGTTTTTACACAAGGAGAACGATAGGCTGGTCTTCCCTTCCTCTGAAATATGTGACCATCCAGACAGGAGAATGCAGACTCAGAGTTGATGGGAATAACTTTCTGGCATGGTTTAGGACAGGTGTTACCCTCACAGAGAGCCCCATTGGTTCCTGGAAAATCTCCATCCCATGCTACTTTTTTGTACCCACTCTCTTGCTTCATCAGTAGAGTCCATTGCCGGCAGCACGGGGCTTTCTCCACAAGCTGGCTAGCATTCTCTGTATTTTGGACTGAATTTTGATTACCACATTATGTATGCTGAGGCTTTGGGTATGAAGGGCTATTCAGTGGATGTGGATCAAGAAGGCTGGATCAGGGGATTGTGTTATTAGTTTAATTTTTTCTTTTACAATTTATTTACAATTTTCTTTGTCAGTTTAGATCAGCTGTTTGGGGTGTGCTTCCCAGCCTTTGGGTATGTCTACACTACAGCGCTAATTCGAACTAAGCTAATTCGAACTAATGCATCCAGACTAAAAAACTAGTTCGAATTAGCGTTTTGCTAATTCGAACTAGCATGTCCACACAGAGTGGACCCTGAACTGGGGTTAAGAATGGCCGGAAGCAGTGCCGGCAGGGCATGAGATGAGGACGTAGAGCGTGGAACTGCTGTCTCAAGCTAGCCGAGGGCTGTGCTTAAAGGGACCCAACCCCCACCCCGGACGGACAGTTCTCAGGAGTGGCCCGCTTGCAAAGCAGTCCTGGCTTGGATTGCCCGGAGTACCCACACTGGGCACATCACAGCACTCGGCCATCAGACCGGCTGCACTTGCCTCAGGCTGTCATCTGGGGAGAGGGGGCAATTGGGGGGGCTGCAGGAGAGGTTCCATCCCCAGAAGCCCACAGAGCCACCCCAGTCCTCCCCATCGGGAGCTCATACCCCATTCCTCCCTCACCTCCTTCCACTTACCCCCCCCAACCCCCCTTCCTGATGTACAAAATAAAGGAAAATTGTGTTCAAAAATAGAATCTCTCTTTATTGAACAAAGCTCGGGGAGACTGGGAAAAGGAGGTGGGAGAGGGGAAGAGAGAGGGTGGGAGAGGGGAGGGCAACTACAATGATCAGAGGTTTGGAAGAGGTCCCATATGAAGAGAGGCTAAAGAGACTGGGACTTTTCAGTTTAGAAAAGAGGAGACTGAGGGGGGATAGGATAGAGGTCTATAAAAGCATGAGTGGGGTGGAGAGGGTGCA